TGAAATGAAAAATAAATAAATGAAAATATTTTTTAAAAAAATTCACTGTGCCTCCTTTTAAAACAATAATAAGCCTTATCACGGAAAAGCTCACCAATGGTATATTTTCTGAAATGTGGCTATTCTTTTTTGACCAGTTTCAGTTTATATATTTGAACCTCCTCTGATGCTGTTTAATCCCTCTAAATGAGTTTCATTCTCTTGCACTAAAGGAACAGCAGGATGGTTATACAGTGTTCTCTCTCATTCACTTTTGAAAATCTAAGACAATTTATGAAAACCAGATATACAGCCTTAAAATAGAATGTGGACCTAAATACCCAGAAGCACCCCCCTTTGTAAGATTTGTAACAAAAATTAATATGAATGGAGTTAATAGTTCTAATGGAGTGATGGCCCCACGAGCCATCTCTGTGCTAGCAAAGTGGCAGAATTCCTATAGCATCAAAGTAGTTCTGCAGGAGCTTTGGCGCCTAATGATGTCTAAAGAAAATATGAAACTCCCTCAACCGCCGGAAGGACAGTGTTATAGCAATTAATCAGAAAGGAAACCCACAGGTCCTCCCCCTCCCCCGTTCCTCTAAGCAGTCTTCATTTTCCACAGTAGTCAGTTTTCTAGGTGTGTCTTGTAGACCTCAGAAGTACTGGAAAGGAAGCTCCCGTTCAAGGGCAATTTCTCTTAAGATCCTGAAAATGATACTAATTTTTTGTCCATTTGAAATACCTGAGTTGTGCTCTAACAAATCATTCTGTCAGGTGTAACCATTGTCCATGTAGTTGAACTCCTGGGATCAAGAAAGTTTATTTAAATCAATTTCCCATCGTAAGTGGTGGGGCACATCTAACTCAACTGTGAAGAGACACTTCACACAATCACCTTGCTGCTGATACATGGCCTGGGGTCTCTGCCTTCTCCTCTTCCTCCCACCCCCCACCTTCAGCCCCCTCTCCCTGCAACAGCCCTCCAGCTCGGGGAGGCTTCTTAGAATATATGTGAAGGTTTTGGGTCACAGCCTATGGGACTACTGCTGCGTGCATAAGTCTTAAATGGTGCCCCCATTCAAAGCGATCCTTCCCCTCTCCTCCTCCCCCACCCCTGGCTGAAGCATAGATTGTAATCCCCTCTGCTCCCCTCTAAAATTGGCCTTTGGTGAGGAATTCAGGGCTTTCCCCACATCTTCTCTTCCCCCACTGGATTGAGGGGTGCTGCTGCTGCTGCTTTCCTCCTCCCAGAGCCCCTTCCTGCACCGTCACACCCCACATTTCCCACGACACTTCGTTGCTTTGGCCAGAAGCCATCAAGGAAGGTTGGAAAGAGCCTTTGAGCTCCCTCATTTCATTTTCTAACCACATTGATTTCCTCTCCACCAGGGACACGAACACGGGGCCCTCAGCCCTGCCACCCTCTGCTGTCATCAGCTGATGCGTTGTTTTAGCTCAGGTTTTGATACGGTGGCAAGAACGGTCACCAGGGTTTCTCAGACGTGCCAGCTCTCAAAGTCCTTGGTGGTTAAGCTTGCAGAAAGGCCACATGAAGACACTTGTAAGCACACACGGTCCCTCTGAATGTTTTCTTTTCCTGTAATTGCTTTTGCTTTTAAAAATGGAAGAAGTTTTAAACAGACAGGCCTCTCATTTGGTCATCCTTGCAACCCATTGGGTCTGGCTTGGAGTCTGACAAGTAGAGCAGAACAGGAACCTGGAAGCTGGTGCACATGTCGGTTTGGTGCTGCTGCTGCTCACCATCCTCAGCAGGGCGGCAGGAAGAACTCAGTGTGCGCGGCAGATCCCGAAATTGGCGAGTTTGACCTCCTGGCAAATTGCTGCGTTTTTTCCATCTTTGTGTTCAGTACCACTAAATGCTGAAATGCGGATACATACCGAAATAAAAGCAATTCATTTGTGTTTAAAAAAAAGACCTGAACACTTATATAATTTTCATCATTTCTCCAAGTTCATAGAGTTTCTGGAGGCAAGCTTTTTCGGAAGTGGAAGCCATTCCTGCTTCCAAGCTTGTTTTAATCAGGGAGCTCCACCAAACACTGTCTAGCAGGGTAACTGTTATCACATTTGACATATCAATGTCACAGTGTTTAGCATTACAGCAACCACAAGTTACCTCTCTACAGCAAGTGAACAGACCAGTGCTACACCACTTAGAAGAATGTTAGACCAAAACAAACTAAAACTAGGCCTCAGGGTCATGGATTAAAGCAAGATTCTACTGAAGGTCATCCGAAAAACAACTGGAACAGCACATCAGCAGAGAACTGCTGGAAGTCCAGGCTGGGTTTAGAAGGGTCGTGAT